ATTGAGATTCAGGCTCAGAGAAAGATCCACCGAGCCAACTGGTTACAGGACGCTGTTCGGAGAGCAGCAGCTGGGGATGCTCAAGCCCTAGTAATCCTCAAGAAGCGACAGTCCACACACTTTGCACACCACGCGTACTCACAGCGTGCAGGTGGGCCAACAGAGGCAGTCAAAGGCCTGCAAGTCTTCTACAGGCATAAGTACACTAGCGAGTACAGCAGACCTGCGCAGCTGGCACAGGCAATGCTACAAGTGCATGCCCAGACTACTCAGCAAGTAGTGCCTTTTGAGGTTCAAGAGCTCCGGGATCTGGCGGCCACGTGCCCCTCCAAGAAAAGTGCTGGGCATGATGGAGTTACATATGAGGCCATCCGGACCATGCTAAACTCCAGCCTAGCTGAAGAGCTCTGTGACTACTTTAATGAGATACTTTTGGGCACCAGACCTTTCCCTGATAGCTGGCTCTGCAATATTGTAGTGTTCCTACCCAAGACCTCGAGGCCCCACATGCCAAAGCATCTAAGGCCCATAGTCCTCTCTTCCTGTATGGCCAAACTGTTTACCAAAGCCCTGCTATACAGGATTCGGCCTAGCTTCCCACCTCTTCGTTGCGGTCAGCTTTGCGCAAGGACTGGAGGACAAATCATGGACGGGGCAGTGGCGGCGCAACAACTGGGCTACCTAGCAGCTCAGTACAACCTGCCCCTCTTACTTCTCAAATTAGATGTCGCGGCTGCTTTCGATTCCCTAGAGCACCCTGCCATTGCCAGATTTTTCTGTGCCTGTCAACCCACCCTGGAAGCAAAACTACTCCTGGACTACATTCTGTTTAGTTCCATTACCCTGAGATTAGGTCACCGCGCTTGGACGCAACAACTAGGCAAAGGAGTCCTGCAGGGCACGCCTTTCTCAGCGGAGCTTTTCGGCAGAGTTCTTGACCACTTCCTGGGTGAGGTGTGGCAGGACTGGAATACCAGGTTTGATACCTGGATTCAGGCAAGAGGATGCCACCTCCATGCCATCCTCTATGCAGATGATGTCCTACTCATAGCTACCTCCTACTCGGAGTTGAGGGCCAAGCTCCAGGATGTGCAGAGGGTTCTTCAGCCGCTAGGCCTGCACCTTGCACTTGAGAAGTGCAAGCTCTTGGTCTCCCCGGCTGTGCCGCGAGAAGAATTCACCGTTGGTGAGCAAACGCTCGGGCAAGTAGACACGCTCCTGTTCCTGGGAGTCCTACTAGGTTTCACAATAACTTCCTGCATGACTCTCTCAGCTAGGACAGTGCGAGCTACCAACGTCTTCTACGCTTTCTACAAAATCCTGACTGAACCCGGGGTAGCCCTGGCGTCCAGGCTTTCGCTCCTTTGCAGGCACGTGACTTCTACGTGGCGCTGGCTCTCCCCTGCCTTGCGCCCGGTTCAGGACACCTGCGCTCACCTCACCAAGCTTAGCACGGACCTGCTCATGCGCATGGTTCCCCTAACGCGAGATGTCTTCCTGGGAGCGGCGGACTGGGTGGCCCGCAGGAGGGCTGCCAAAGTCGCGGCACAAAGGAGCGGCTTTGTGTCTTGGCCACGGGTCCTTTGGACCAGGTATCTTGCTTACTGGGCCCATGCGGCTCGGCTCCCAGAAGAGCACGCCCCACCGATCAGGACAGTGCTTGGCATAAGAGGTCGGGTCTGGCTGCTCTTGCGCGGCCAACACATCAGACGCTGCCAGGGAACTGGCCGGACCACAACAGATTTCTCCAGCTCCAGTGGGAACGAACCAGGCAGCCAGGAGACCCGCTCTCGTGGCAGGTCAAGGCCCAGCAGCGCCGAGAGTGGTGGGATTGGAGCAGCGCACTTATGCAGCAGAAGGGCATCATGGAAGTAGGCTTTTATCCCTCCGCGGGAGCGTATAGACTTGCATGGGCGTTGCCTGGTACAGCATGGGCATGGCTTTCACTTGCTACCTGCTAGGTTGGAACCCGTCGAGCAACCCTACAGGTTTTCCTTTGCGGATGTCAGAGAGAACCCTTTTAGGCGTCTTGTCAATCAGTGGGTCATCCATGTTGATCACCTTACATGTGAGCAGGACAGGTTGGCTCTTGCTGCCATCCTGAGGCCCCCAGGCAAACCACTAAGGAGTGCATGGATTCGCAGGGTCAACCTTGAGCTCCTGTCGCCTCAAGCACCTTTACAGCAGCTACATGGCTAGCACCATTCTCCGGGCCCACCCCACCCACGTAGTTCAGGTCCTGCTTGCTAGTGCCAAGGGAGTCCTGCTAGGAATGGGAGAGCAACCTGCCCTTGAACAGGTACCGCTGCATGCCCAGGTTTTAGCTGACCTCTCTAGAGTCAGACACGCTGTTGAGCTGCTGCATGCCAGGGCCAGCATGCAGCAAGACCTTAAACAGCTCATGCTACAGCAACTGCACATAGCCTCCATGCAGCCCAGTTGCCTGCGACATGTCACTGTAAGGGTTCATGGGACTCAGGAGTGGGCCGGTGTCACACCTCGCATGTTCTAGGCGGGGGGGGGGGGCAGGACGGGTACGGAATTCGCCCACACCAACACGCCTGAAAGTTGTATGACTTTGCCTGTGTATTGTGCATTAGCACTTCCTCAGTGATGCATGTGTAGCCCACGCCAACGTACCTGCCAGCAGCATGACCTTGCATGTATGTTTTGCATGAGGATTTCCTCAGTGATGTATGTGCATGTGGATGTAACCTGCCTCCGCAGCTGTTTTGCTGTAACCTCCAACAGCTAAGCTTACCTACACGTCCTGCCTGCCATGGAACTCCTGGTCACCGCCCCTGATGATGTCAAGCTGTGGACGGCCCTGCTGGGCCTGCCTCTCTTGCTGGGCATATGGTTCGCCGCCCGTGGGTGCCGCTGCCGCCGAGGCCGCACGCTAGAACCTGTGGAGGGGCCAGACCCCGATCCAGGGCATGACCATGTGCAGCGGCTAGATGCACTGATAGCAGACGCCAGGAGAGCACTTGCGGACCTCCTTGAAGCTACTATGGCGGCGGTCCAGGAAGGCGTAGGCAGCAACTTCACGGCTGCTGTTAACAGCGCCTTTGAGGACAAGCTGGCGCAGCCCCTGAAAGTTACCCTAGACAAGCTGGGGAAGGTGGTTGGTGCTATTCATGGGCTGACCAAGGATGGCTTCCCGGAGGCCAAGCAAGCAGTGCTGACAGGAGTTGAGCAGCTCCGCACGCTCATCTCTGATAACCACACAGCCCACTCAGTGGCCGTTGACTCCGTGGCCCAGACCGGCAAAGACATGATGGAAAAGCTGGTGGCGATGGGCAGGTCCCTGAACGGGCACGTCGAAGACCTACACAAACGTGTTGGTGGAACAGTGGGAGAAATCCTCCACCTGGTCAAACCCATGCCAGGGGTGGT